TGTAGCTATTATTTAATTTGTTATATAATAATGATCTTTTCCCTTTGACGCAGATTCAAGTAAAAACAAAGGTGGAGCAAAACATTCGGGCATCAGAGACAATGTATTAAGGAATCTGATATTACTGTAGTAAACATGAAAATGGTCATCTCAAGCTCGCAGCAGCGCATTTAACAGTATGGGCCTATGACTGCATATATAACGGTTTCTTCTTCTTTTTCTTCTTCTTTTTTTCAATTCTTCTCATGCCACTATTCATCATTTTCCAGACGCAGGGAGTAGCAGATTTAGATACTTTATCTCGTACTCTACTACTACAGCTTTTGCCCTTGTATCATTTTTCTTTCTTACGTTACACTGATCCTGCGATATTATTGGATTAAATCGCGTGAAAAAACTACTCAAAAGCATGCTAGCTTGGGTACGCAATCATCTCGAACCTCAAACTTTTACAAAGAGTTCGAGTACTCACACTGTAAGAAAACAAGGTGAAGAGAAATTGCAAAAGTTGCTCAGTACGATCAAGGAAGCTAACAATTCGAAAAATATCCGGAAAGCGAAACGCCTGAACACTTTTGAGGTAAACGAGAATTTCACTATTACTGTTAGAGATCAACATTTTTAATTGGTTTATGGCTCTTGCACAGTCCTGGACGAAGTCGGTAAGCTGTGAAAGTTACTGACTGAAGTTAGAAGCTTCACTTACTAAGTGCGTGAGCCTGTTTCGTTATTGTCAAAGAATAGTCTAAACCTCGTTTATTGATTATGTGACCTTCGCAGGCTGCACATCACGTTGCGGGGCGACGCGCTGCGTGCAATACAATCAATACTTATACAAAGATTGTACTCGAAGATGATGAGGTTATCTTGAATGTACGCTTGTTACACTTTGCATAGCTGATAATAGATTCACTGAATTGACTTTTTCTCCCTTATTAGAGCGTCCGAGAGCGTGGGCAAGCCGTATCCGAACCCAGCCGGGTACGTAGTTTATATTTGGTGTTTAATGGTATCGAATTCGTCTAAAACAATTTTCCCAATTAGCCTATCAGATACTAACGAAGAGATGCCACCGAGGGGGCCATGTTGAAGAGGACAACAGAAACAACCCTTTTCTTATTCAGCAATCCTCTAAGCGTTTAAGGTCATCGGAAACAGAAATGGAAACAGAAACGGCCTCTGATAGTGATATCTCATGGCAATCTGAAAACGAGAATGCAAAGTGCAGATGGGAGTCCAGACAGAGAACAGTCCAAAGCAATATTGTACTGGTTTGTAGGTCCGGGAGAAATATACCAGAAGACGCCTGTCAGGTATTTTTAATTCACACTTCATTTGTTGCTGCTTGAGTTATCTGAATATTTATAATTATTTATTGATCAGTTGTTTGTGAATCAAGTGAACGTGTCAGCAATATTTTTTGAGTATCATAAATTGTTTATTAAGAAGGTGTCGACCGACTCAATGGAGAGTGCCAAGTGAGATGCTGTAAGCGATACTTGCTTGTTTGGATAATTTAACTGGTTGTCAGATATTGATGTATATTTGGTATTATAGGGCGATAAACAATATATTTTTACTTAAAGACTCCGGAGATCCAGGCTGATATTTTGATCAAACGCGTCAGGAATATCCCTTGGAGGAGTTGTCGAATGACTCTCTGTTGAAGTAAGATTCGTTTCTGTATTCAGCTTGTGTCACCGAGAGTTCTGGTACGTTGTCACTCGGTTGTACATTATGACCAGGTGGCAAAAACTAACTTCAAGGAATGCAAAGCAATATTAAGGTAATGAGACAATCTTGGATGTTTTTCATAACATGTAACTTTAACGTAGTACCATTTGATTGCTCTCCACGATATCCTATCTCGTATTTATGCCGCTTATTATTATAGCCTTGGCATATCATTTTCTGTTGAAAACTTCAATGAGGACACCTTCGTCCATGAAGTTTTGCAACCTATCATATCTCTTTTCTTGTACAATATGTCTTTACTCATGTCCGTCACATTAGAAATGAAGCTGACAACATACATTCGGTGCGTGATCAGAACGAAACGAAAATTTGATCCATACCTTCAAGGGAGGAAAGCAGATTTTCGGTGTACGTTTCCAATTGATGTGTAAATTAGCCCTGTAGCCTTCAGAATAATCACCTATCGCCGACAACTTCTGCTTGTAAACCATCAAGAAACTCAAGGAGCAACTGACGAGATGATCGAAACTGGGAAATAAAATGAAAGATGCCGTAGATAAGATTATTCATGATGGCGTTGAGGAGGATGTCGCGTTTGTAGAAGGTAATAGCATCTTGAACAATTACGGATGCTTCAATAGTTTTGACTTAGATATGCTGATTTCTGCAAGCACAGGTTGCCGATGTACTCTTGCAATGGATTTGCGTTATCATGCTGTCTACCGAATGTTTCAACTGGGTATTTTCTACCTGCCTCGAGATCGGCACAACT